GAACATTTCAACACAAAGAAATTTTCAAATTTATGACGGAGCTACGAATGTCAGCACAATTTCGTCACATAACTGCTTTTAATAACGTATGAGTTTGATTCCACATATACATTCTACATTAAGGTACTTTATATTTTATTTATTTATTGGTTTGATAGCATGTTTCGAACCTATATGTGAAAAAACTTTTCTTTCCGATACAGTACTGTCAAAATTGTACAATATTTTTCAAATATCCTCATGTCAGAACTTTTATTGAATTATTAGCATTTTGGGATTATTCTTTATTGTTCTGTGCTACTACTTGTAGAACATGAGCTTATTTGCATAATTTCTGGAGTATGCAAACTCAAATTATGTTTTGAATTTGACAGTTCTGTCGTTTCGTTATAACGCTTTCATAAAGTTACAGATTTTTTTTTATTTAAAACTCATAAATACCTCATTCATTTATATAAAACATAACAATATGTTTACCCAACTGTTTGGGGACTTTCTACATGTATTATTAAAAAAAAGGTATTTTTTTTTATTTGATAAGTCACCCATTATAATAAGGGAAATTAGGGCACAAGAGAATACAATAAACATAATAGATTACCCACATGAAGACAGTAATATTTCAGGATTTCATATATAAAAAGATAAAAAAAATTGTGATTTGAATAAATAAAATTCTTTATAAATGTAGTTTAGGTGATTTGTCCTATAATTGGGATTAGCATCCACTTTAATTTGTATTTATTAAATAGTAGGTAGTTTGTGTGTTAAAAATTACTTTAGACAAATTTTCATTCATGTAATAATTTTAATGGAAAAACACTTATGCAATTCTCCAAAAAAATTATCAAGAATTTTCATTACACTGAATATATTATTACTGAATGCTTGTAAAAATTCTCTAAAGTATTAATATTTTTTTTACATATTGAATGGTAAAGCGGATGTGAAGAATTATATTGAAAAATTGCGACTTGGAATTTTCTAAAGAAAATAACTATTTTTATTTAGTTGGGGCATCCTTTATCTTGATTATTTGAAATTGAAGCGGTTTGGCAATTTAGTATAAAATCTTTTAAATTTTAGTCAGAAGATAAGGACGCGGACTTCTACAAAAATTAAATTAGCTAGCAATTTTTTAAATCTAAAATTTAATACTATATTCGAATATAGAGCATCCTCATAAACCTCTTCCCACTAAATTTGAATGCAATATTTTTAAAAGTGCTCAAGATTTGTTTATCCACACATTTAATTCTTTTACTTTAGGATAAACTGTTAACATAAAAATGATTAAAGTTAGATAAACTTTTATTTTTATTTTTTGTTTTTGACAGAGTGGTTTGATTCTCCAGCAAACATTTTTCTTTATGTGGTAGCTGGTAATAAAAGTATAATTTAGGGATCTATATGCCGCAAATATTTTCACCTTTATTGAAATAAATATAAAAATATGAGGCAGAGAGGTATTAATCTTATTTTAATGGCTATTTAAAAAAAATTCTGGGGAGTCTGATAGCTTAATGTAAAACAAAAAGTAAAAGGCAGAGCTTATCTAACTTTGGCAGTATTTAAATAAATGGTTACACTAAAGCAGAAAATCTAAACATTTAAGTAAATACTAATATCTGAATATTTTTACAGATATTTAATTCAAATTTAGTACATAAAAGTTTCTAAGTATGCTAAATTAGAATATATTATTAAGTTAATAAAAAGTGCATGAAAAGAGACACTGTATATTTCATTAACTTACATATATTTTGCAGTTTTATGTATATAATATAAATGCATATGAGAATGAAATTATAGATTTTTATAATTTTTTTCTACTTTAATAAAAAAATGTTAATATGAAGTGTTTATTTATGAAATGATCAAGTTAAATGATGATATTTCGTGTTAATCAACAGATTTCAATACTTTTGATACTGTCGCTTTAAAATTCATTATCACTAAGGACCGTGTCTTACAACTATTGGGTAAATTTAACTGCTATTTAAAGTTATGTGTGTTTAAAAATATTTTACACAGTATGACTCATAATTAAATGTAAAAAATTTAACTGATGGTAATAACCAAAATTAAACAACCAAACCTCTCTTCAGACACTTTCAATACACGTTTAATCGTTGCATAAATTTTTCTCAAAAATGGTTAGATATATTCTATAAATACATACTAATATCAATTCTGGTATAATAAAATCATCTACACTTTTAGTTTATGAAACTATAGACTTAATCAAATAGGTTTGAGAATAAAACTATTCCAGAGAATTAAAATAGATATAACTTTTAAGAAATAGGTTCAGTTAAATTGTATGCCTAATTATGACTCGCTTTGTATATGATTTGATATCTATTAATTCAATTTTAAAGAGCAATCTTTAAAACACATTTTAAATTACATACAGTTCATTTATTTCATATCAGTCGGTACCTAGTCGGTAAATGTAATATAATTGTTATAGCTATTAGAAACAAAAATATATATTTTTTTTAAGTTTAAGTTTGCAATAAGGGTTTTTGGCTAGAAAACCGCTAAACGAGTTAACTATAGTTTGTATAGAAATGTAGATAACTCAGTTTAGCAGACTTTGTCAAACCATTAAACTGGATTTGTGCGTTGGGTTTGAATCTTAAGTTAATATTTATATCTTTGTTTATTTTCTGTTTCGTACTTAATCGCTACTTCGTTTTTTTAGAGGTTTGGTTAGGTATAAGTTGTAAATAAAAAAAAAAATTGGAAATGGATTCACTTTGCAAAAAATATAAAGTAATATTTAAAATTGATAATAAAAAAAAATAGTAATCGAGGATCCAAATAACTTTAATCGTTTATAAGATGGTAGATATGCATTTTCTATACTGTATAGATCTTTATTAACTTCCCTTTAGACGATACATCGATACAATTACGTTGGAATAGATAATATTTGTGAACAAGGTAAACCCATTTTGATCTAATAGCCATCCATCATAGATTATAGGTTACCTACGATTTTATTATTGATGTTAGATATCCAAACAAAAAAATTTTTGTGAGCTGTCAAATATTCTAAATATTCTAATGTCCCTAACTTCTTAAAGAAACAAAATTATACTAAAGTAACTCGATATCAGTTTATATAGAGAGCTATACAGAAAAAACTAAAAAAAATCTTAAAATTTCAACTCTAGATCGGTAACGAAGCGTTTCCGGACCTATGTTTATATGAACTTTTAGTCATGAAATAAGCCAGAGAATTACCCCCTCATTTAGGAACACCCTGTATACGTCAAAAATTTGTTTTGCCTACTGGGACGTTAGCCATACTTTCATAGTATCCACAGATCAGTACGTCATCTTTTAACAATAGGTAAAATACAAAGTAATGTTTTGTGCCAGTAGGCATTGAGTATTCATTTTCTCCTGTCCAGAAGTTACTCGGTAAACAATTTATTGATTTTCTCCTACCGTTATAAGGGCTAGAAAAGCCAACCCTAAGACTTGTTTCATATGAAACTTTTTTCTATAGTCTGTTTAGAAATGAAAGATAGTAATAAAAGCTTATTATGTATGCAAATCGTAAATAAATGTAGTACTGGTGCTTATATTCAATATTTTTATATTATGTATTATCGGTATAGATGAGGTGTACTTTTAAAAAAACTTTGTGTGACCGGGTTGTACTAAATTGTAGCAGGTAGCTAAAATTTAATCCCCGACAATCCGTCTTTGTCTATGCCGCTTCAATTTCTCGGTCCATTTCTCTTATAAGTAAACAATATAAAAACAGCATTTCAAAACATGAGGCTACTTTAAGCATCATAACCGGGTTAAGAGGGTTTTTAGTAATTCAAATAAAATTATTCAATATTATTATCAAAATATTTATTTAAATTTAATGAATAGACTTTTATTCCACACAAAAATATATGTATTTTGAAAATTCAAATTATGGTGAGTAAATGTAGTGTTGTATAAATGTACAATAAAGAAAATAAAAAAGTAGGTATATTAAAATTCATCCTCTGAATATTCTGATGAATTATCTTCGTCTCCTAGATTGATAACGATAGGTTCCACAGTAACGTCAATTAAATTATCGAGTTCCCACATTTTCTCCTCTTCTTTTTGTACATGATGTATACATCTTTGCCAGTTATCTGCAGTTACTCGTTCCAAGGAATTTTTTAACAAAATTTTCACGTCACTTAATTTAAACGTCGTATTATTTCGCGCTACATCTCCTTTTACCTGCGCCCAGACTAATTCGATTGGGTTAAGTTCACAGTGATAAGGTGGTAACCGTAGTACCGTTATTTGGCGATTTGTTGCCATTTCATCGATAACATATTTTTTCTGATCTTTATTAAGATTGACAAGTGTCAAAAGTTCCTTTTTCACCATATTTGTTTCAAAAGAAATGTTTTTTCCGGATAACCATTGAATTATATCGGCTTTCCTCCAAGCAGTCGTAGGCGTCCGCTCGGTCTGCCGTGAATGGTAACTGGCATTATCCATGACAATTACAGACCCCGGAGGAATAAGATCCAACATCTGTGTAAAATACTCTTCGAAAACATCTGCGTTCATGTCTTCGTGATAGTCACCTGTATTTTTAGATTCAAATAAAAGTAAACCGCCATCTACAAAACCACTGGCACTACCTATATGTGTCACTATTAATCTTCGCCCTTTACCTGAAGGTGCCTTGAACCCTGTTGAAAGTCCATCCAAAAATGCTTGTCGAAAACTTTTTACATTTTTATCTTGCCATACTTTTGTTACAGTATATCCCTCGTTGACCCAAGTTTCGTCTAGATAATAAATATTCCTCCCTTCGTCACGGAATTTTCTAATTGATCTTAAGTAGGATCTTCGCCAACAAATAATTTCATCTTTATCGATAAGAACTGACTTCCTGTTCTGCTTTTCCCAGCAAAAATTCAACTCTCGTAAGACGGCCCATAATTTGCTTCTACTGATTTTTGGCAAATCGTTGTCCTCTGAAAGTTCACTTAAAATTTTGTTTAGCGTTGGTATTTCTTTTTTAAAATAAAATGAGTGTACTTTTCTGCGAATGACATTTTTGAAGAAATCATCTATAACGACTTTTGACCTCCCTGTAGATGATTTTGGGGGATTTACAGTATCTTGTTCATTTTTTGTTTCCTTTAAAAGTCTGTAGATAGTCGATTTTCCAATCCCTGTCATTTTTGTTAGCATTAGTGTTACCCGATAATTACCTGAAACGAAATATTACCACGCCCATGGCCGGTTCTTATCTCGGGGTTTTATTACTCTCTTTCATTTCCAAACAGACTATAATCAACTACCTTACCATTTAAAAAAAATTTATTTCATTACGAATGTGTTTTTGTCAGGGACATACAAAGAGATATGTCAGTGTTTTATATCACTTAATTACATTATCGTTTATGTTCCATATTTTTGTTGCTAATATTTATATTTCTATTAGTAGTTACACTTCACATCAATTTCATGAAAAAAAAATCATTAATATGAATGAACAACCATACGCTTCGCATAAGTTGGGGCACAGGTATTACAATAGATACATTTATATCTACTGCAACCGTGAAGATAAATTAAACATATTTACTAACTGCCCGGAACTAGTGACATACATTCGCAAACCGTCAAAGTAGAAATTGGAAACAAAATTACTCTAAATCTACAAAACCGAAACGTATCCTTTAAAAAAGAATTTATAAATGGGAATATGAATTTATACAACGATCATAATCTTATCATTTTATTTGAAAGTACATATACAATACAACAATCTAATCTATCAAAATATCTTCCATATCTTCTTTCAATTTTCTCATTTTATTTAATTCAGTTCGTCTTTTCTTTATATCGTTGTTCAATTTTGCCTTCAAGTGAGTTGGTTGTCGATGGCTTAAACTTGGATGTCTCTGTATAACTTCCTCGCATTTTGAAAGGGAAGGTAAATATTCTTTAGTATAATAATCCGCAAATTCCTTTTTTATAATTTCTCTTTCCGGAGTGGTCCATCTCATTCTGGCTGCAATTAACACAAAACATATTTTAAAATAACACAATATTTGGAAATATATTTAAAAAATCCAGGTCATATACTTTACTATTTTAAACTTTCAACTTTAACATTTTTTTTGTTTAGTAAATGTAATCCATATTTGAAATAAGATTAATCACATTTACTTAAAATGCCAGAAACATAAATATTTTTGTAATGAGTGTTTGTAGATAAGTGCGAAATACTTTAAGGAGTGGGAGTTATTTTGTGAAAAAAAGGTCATATAAACGTAGGTCGAAATATGCTTCATTTCTGAGATACGGATTTATTAAATTTTAATTGTAATATATTTTTATTAATTATTTCAACGTTTTACTTAAAGATATTGACTCGAAATTTGATGATTGTATTTTATTTAGAAATATCGACAGCAACGTACAAGATAATGTATCAATAGTATTAAAAATACACAACTTGCAATAAAATATGTTTTATTTTTTCCTCAAAGACAGTGCATCTACGAAAAAAATCGAAGAGGCCAATTTCATTCAGAATTGATGGCGAATATTTAAAAAAAGTATCAAATTGGGAAAAACACAATGGCGTACGATTTTTTTTTATTAAAAAAAGGTTGTGGTATTCTCGCACGAACGCCACTGGTGGAAGTATAAATATTTGGATCATCCCAAAAAATGTACATTTATCCCTCCAAAGAGTTTTTCAAATTTCGAGTCAATATCTTTAAAACTCTTTGGAATAATTAATAAAAATAAATAAAAAATTAAAATTGAAACACTGTATCTCGGAAACAAAGTATAGTTCGACCTACGTTTATATGAACTTTTTTACACAAAATAACTTCCGCAACCACCCCCTAAAATATTTCGTACTTATTTACAAACACACTGTATACATATAGCACCGGATAATAAAAACACAAATCAGTCGGTCCTACCATGCCTGAGTAAAAAATGCAAGTTTTAACAATATTTACCTAAATTTTAACCAAGAAGGTTGCAACTTCAAGTAATACTTAGAAAACAATTGAAAGTTGTCGAAGCTTTTGTTTTTGTGTTAGAGCACCCTGTATATTTTTACATATTACTTATTTTAAACGTTATTAGTTTATATGAACATTTTTTCACAAAATATCCGTTTCTGGTAGACTTATTACATTTAGGTTATCGGGTATTGCCTCCGGGGTCACTAAATTCCTCTCATCAACTGTTTCTGGTGCCATCACATTCTGATCATCAGGTGTATCTGTGATACCTACTAAAGCGTCGGCAGCCACAAAATCGACATCACTAAAGACACCTCTATCCACGGGCCACACTCCGGTAGCTCTAAATCCATTACTGATGGTTACTATGGATGCAGATCGAGAATAGGCCTCACTCAAGAGAGCTGTCATATNGCCACAAAATCGACATCACTAAAGACACCTCTATCCACGGGCCACACTCCGGTAGCTCTAAATCCATTACTGATGGTTACTATGGATGCAGATCGAGAATAGGCCTCACTCAAGAGAGCTGTCATAGTGTATGGCGATACAGCACTTCCTGGGTTAGTCCTTAACCATTTCTGTATTGCTTGTGTAAAATACATTTCCATAGGTTTAAAAAAACTAACGTCCAATGGTTGAAGACGATGAGTGGTATGCCCCGCCAATTGCAATAAAATAACCCCATTTTCTCTGGCTAATAATATAGCATCCAAATTCTTCGAGTGCGTTGTATGACCATCTAACAACAACAAAACTTTATTGTCATTAGAAAATTTAACATTGCTAATGAAGTGTTTCAGCCACTCTATAAAAATATCTGCATTAATGTAACCTGTATCAGATATGGTCACGATAGCTCCTGGTGGTGCACCAACTTTCAATTCATTGGGCATACGCTTACGTTTGTAAATTATTATAGGCGGAACACAACTACATGCAGCATTCTCGCAACACACAATTGTGGTGTTAACACCACGTTCTCCGCTGGACATACCTCCCACTTGATGTTTCCCTCTTTTAGCCACTATTTTTCTGTTTCTTTTTTGTACAGTGGAAAATCCACTTTCATCGACATTATATCTAGTCAACGCTGTAAAGTAAAGCGACAGTTCTCTCAAGAATGTCAAAAAACTCGTTAACGTTTTTCCTGTTGAATCCAGCGGCTCTAGCTAACGAAACTTTCTCTGGCTGTCTGACTGACATATGTGGATGGCGTTTCATAAAATTATAGAACCACGCCTTGCCAGCCATACCCTTTTCTGCATTAAAAGTATTAGGAATTTTAGTTCGGCTGGCTAATTGAAAAGCAAGACGACGAATATCACTTATAGTCAAACCAAAGAGTCTTTCTTCTAACTTTATAATGTGCTGTGCCAGCTCTTCTTCCATATTCAGTGAGAATGTTGGTAGACGACCAGAATATTGTATATCGTTATTTGCTCTTTTATTTAGACATTTTAAGTGTCGCCGAAACGTTGGTTTGGGAATATTGTAGCGTTTGCAGCATTCATTAAAGCCATATTTATTTTCCTTGAAAGCTTTTATGGCTAGTTGCATATCTTCCTTAGATCATTGGTTATATTTTCGTTTTTCATCAGAAGCCATTATTTTTTTTAAGTTATAGGTTCCCACTGAGGTAGATAGGTATACAGTGCTAAAACAAAACAAAATTAATTAGAATTTTTATGTGTTTTAACTGACTAGTTCGACAAATCGTACCAGGTACCATTTAGCGAACATGTGGTGGTACGATTTGCCGAACTATTACGGTGTGAGATTATTTTATTGTTATTAAGTTAAATAAAGTTGAAACAACTTGACACTAGTTTCAGATTATGCCGGCTTTACTAACAAATCTTACTGCAAAAACATTCATACAATTCAACTTACCGATTTATAATTACACTCTTACGCCTGGACGTTACAAATTGTAGGTTATAAGACTGTTTGTGTATGTATGAAATCACTCAAACAACTAACTTGTCGGTAAAAATAAAAACTGCTTTAGGCGATGCAATGTAAAATCTTCAGAATTTGTGCAAAAGTTGTCACTACTAACATCATCATTCAGCAAAAAGCCAGTGGTACGATTTAGCAGGCGATATACCCGACCCTACCCTACTAGCTGATAATTTTTTCCGGTTACCTCTCCCTTTTAGCGGTGAAAACTTTTAGACTGATCGTATTTTTTTTAAATGGGCAGCAACATTGAAGAGGTCGTTTTATTTTAAAAAAAAATTGTCTAGAAAATCGTCTACAGAAAGCCATTCTTGAGAAAAAAGGCATTATTTGCAGGTCTCGCAAAGATCATATGAAATAAAAATGGGCACTTAGTAAAAATGTTTATTATATAAGAAACACGGTACTAATCATAAAAAAAGTTTTTAAACGATACCATATCGTTTACCATGCCCAAACATCCATCGAAAACTAACGTTGAAATTGTCGAAAAATTGTCGATTTGTATACACACAGTAAGGGTTAGTATTTTTTCGTATACTGCACTGTTGTTGAACCTGTAACGAAATATTTATGTAAATCCAGGCTGTTTAAAGGTAGACAGTATTTAAAATAAATAATGTCACTTTATCATAGAAACATGTTTCCTTTGTAGTCTAGTAATGATAATCAACACAGTAATATAGTTACATGTAGTACTATAATACGTGTAGTGTAATTTTACTGTTTATTTCATTGTGAGACATAATTTTCAAAAAATCAGTCACAGGTGCAGAAATAATACTTTCTAATGTGATTTTACAGTTACTGAATTCTCGATTAAATGATATTGTCTGAACATTTATTCAGACAATAACTAGTGCTACTTGATTAACAGTTTGGTAGGTGGTAGGTAAGTACCTACTTAATAATGGTACACCTTGTAGTAAACATTCTATTCTGTTCTGTCGATTATAAAGGGTGTCTATTAAAGAATGTGGCATACATTCAACAACAGTGACTTTGGGCCAAAATAAACCTAGTTGATCTAAATCGGTCTATTTTGTCCCAAAGTAACTGATGTTGAAGTTTGTCACATTCTTTTAGTGGACACCCTGTATAAAACCAGTTTCAATAAGAAATTTAAAGATCAGTTTATTTCATATAATGACATATATTAATTTGACCTTAAAATGTAGTTTGTTTTAATTTATATATACAGTGTGTCCCGTTTAACACCCTCACATCTCGCTCACCTGATATCCGAACATTTTGAAATTTTGATAGTGAATATACACCTATAAAGTGAGTCTTTAGAAGTATTCAGATTTGTTTGTAGCCAGAGGCGTCCGATTCTAAGATGGGCAAAGGGGGTCGATTTTTCAAAAAAAGTATTAACGATTTTTTTTTTAGAAAAATAGTAGTTAGATATTCTTAATCGGCACCTTTAGATACCACTTTCTGCAAGATTACATCATTTACTTCAAAGGAGTTTGAGATAAGGGCCGTCAAAAAACAATTTTTTTCAACTTAATAATTTGTATCTGTAAAATGAAAAAAAAAAACGTACGTGTTAACTTGAAAAACGGGACACACTGTATATAAACTTATATTATTATGTTTATGGAAAAAATTAAATTATTTCTCTACAACTTACTTTTATATGTAACTGTTTTCTCTCTGCTCGTTTGAACATTTTTTTCCTTTTCTTTTTGTTCTAAAAATAAAATAAAAAGTACTTATTAAATTTTACCTTAAATTTTGATTAATTTTAATTCTTTAAACCACATATTACTAAAAAAATGAACAATCAAGAATAAAGTATTACAATTTTTTCAAGGGATTGTCAAAAATAAATTAAGTATGTACTAATAAAACAAATAGAGACATACCATATTGTTTGCTCACACTTTCTTTTAGAAGTTTCCTCCTTTGGATTATTCTAAAAAACAAAATAAAAAGGAATTGGTTAGGTAGCTACAATTTAAAAGATGATAAGCACTTATATAATACTACGTACTATGAACTTTTGGGCTAAGGTGGCTTAGATCAAATCAACATTTTTGCATTAAAAAGATGTCATCTAACGCTATAGAATGTAATTTCATAACACCCTGAATAAATTACACCTGGGCGCTAACACTAAAAAATATTATACTTTCTCATAAAACGGTGTTCTATAAACTATTAAAAATAACGTTTATCTATACTTCTATATCTATACCAATATAATATTATAAAGAGGAAAGATTTGTATTTTTGTATGTATGTATGTTTGTTACGAATAAACTCAAAAACATAGGCTCTATGTTTTATATCCCAAAATGTTTAAAATAAATGTCCACCCGTGCGAAGCCGGGACGGGCCGCTAGTAGTATATACATCATTAATTTACTTACCATTATTATTATCGCACACCTTACACCTCACACCAAGACCAGGCTGAGCTTGGTAACTTATGAGAGCACGAATTGTTAATATTCCCTATGCCAAAAATATTCGCAAAATCAGCATTCATGTTTTTAGCGATAAAGAAGTGTTATTAATAATTTGTCCTTCACAGTGAAAGGTACTTTATTGATTTTGAAAATGAATAGCAGAACGAAGCTTATGTTTTTGAATTTAAACTTAATGGATAAAATAAGGTCGGAAGGTGACCCATCAACTAATGTTCCTCAAGTGAGTAAATACAGTAAACAAAAGTAAACTTTTCTAAAACGTTTCAAATATTTTGACAACAATTTTGTATTTCATTTGTCATTTAATAAATTAGTGCTTTGGGTACAAATAAAAACTAAAATTAAAAAACTAAACTATAAAACAAAACAAAAAATTAAAAAATTAAATAAAAAACATCACAATACCATCTGTGGTATGATTTTGGTGATTTAGGTATATAGGAATAGGTGTAAATCATAAAACTGTCACCATGTATATACGTATAATTTTCGAACATAATCAAATAATTGAGCAAGTTTGTAAAATTTTTTGTGTACCTACCTATTTCTAAAAATACAGGTTATTTACCCCTATGAATTTTTAGAAACCATGCCTTGAATCTCTACGGGTTCTATCAGGTTATTAATTCTTCTTCGAATAATTCTGTTATTTTCAGTAAAATAACACTTTTCTCCTAAACTAAGTTACAACTGAAAAAATGTTAAGAAACATCTTATGTCAAGTATTGAAATTGTCTTTGTAAAACCGTTGTCAAAATTTTTTTATGATGTTTAAATAATCGAAGAGTGGTATTATTAGGTTGTTAGATAAGGTGTTAGGTATGGTTTAAGTTTTGTCAGCAACAAAATCTGTTTGTTGAATGTATAAGGAGACATTCGTCATTTAAGAAATGAAAATATGTACCCCTTCCTTTCTTTTCATATATGTAAGGTCACTTTTTAATTCCAATTATTTAATTAGTAAAACTTAAGGTTTGCTGTGTTTATTGTTTATATTGTTTGTTACCTTTAAGAACTCAGTTCCTGAAACTGATATTGCCGAATCCTCTGATGAAAATACGACACCAGCTGTGCATTTATCTGATGATATTGTATCAGCTGCAAGTGAAGAAAGCAGCGATAATACTACTGAAATTATTCTATTAGGCAATGAACAGGTAAGTACCCATAAACATCCAATAACAATTTGTAAATTGATATAAAATGTTGATCCAATCAAGATTTCAATTTTCTTTTAGGCTCCCAAACATAAATTGGATGTTGTTATTCCTATCCAACCACTAATTATTTTTCATCAAAATTCGGCTGAAAATGTATGCAGTACATCCGATATATCGAATTTTAACACTATATCTGACTTGCATCAGGTCTGTACCAGTAAAAACGATAAAGATGACTTAAGTTTACCCACGGGATCAGACACATTGGAATCAAATTCTACATGTAACTAGAGCCAGGCATATTCTATCAACTGTAATGATGTTAATATTTTGAAATTACCAGATACACCGGTTAAGCCGGAATTGAATCCTATATCTAACTTGCGACAAGTATGCTATGGTGATGACAGTTTAAATTTACCCAGCACATCAGGT